CGATCCAAAATATTCGGGGTGGAATTTTTGACCAATCAAATAATTCCGTGGTAGACAGCGAAATCGGCCGTTTACAGCAATATTCGACTTGTTTCAAAGCGTTCTATCATCAGCTGGATGATGTGTACTTCCCGACATTGCTTTCGTACCCAAACCTGTTCGTTTCCGAATACACTATTATTTTATTCATTCTTGAGACACAATGCTTATTTAATTTTAGACATATACCGTTTCTCCCCGCGTCATAAAATATATAAGTAGATCATTCCATCGGCAAAACTTAGTTTGAACAGTTAACGATAATAACCATTGAATAAGTCCTTATATCAACGGAATTTGAATAACCGGATATACAGTCTTGTACCTATAAATTGCACGTGTTTATCGGAATAAAATACTCTTTACCAGTTTCAATTCTCGTTTCGACGCGAGTAAATCGTAATCATATTAATCATATTTATCTAGGAGAGTATTGGGTAAAATTAGCGCCGGCTTGGAATAGTTAACTACCGCAAATCGGATTTATAGTGCAGCCTCGGGCAAAAGTTATTGGTATTGCGAACAATTCCAAACAATTCGGTAGGAGCGGTTCAGTTCGTGATTATGTAACAATTAAAATAATGCGGAAAATTGTTACGTGATGTTTTTGTAGATCATTTTGCATTGTTCTAAGCCGTCTCATGAATAAGCCCTGCTTACTGTTTGTAGTCCGCTCTGCAAGTAAAGATAATAAACCGTAGACATTTGTTTCTTTCATTTGTAGATTTATTTTCTTTTCAAAAATTTTACTAAACATAATATTAACGTTTTATCGATGGGAATATGTAAATCGTGTTCACCTACAAATACTTATTTGACTTTTCGGTTTAAGAATTCGTCAATTTCAAGATTTCGATACATTCGTTATTATTATATCATCATCAAAGCATTCAAACTGACTTCATAAATTTGAACGTAGGGTATTTACAAATGATAACCGACAAATAAGGATAATAAAAAGTCGATTGAAGCGTATGAACATTGAATTACTTGAAACGAGATAATTTTATTTAAACGCTGGTGTTCCAAGTGTCGACCTGCACCGAAGCATTATGTGGAAAGATCCGTAATATAGGACTAATAAAATTCGCTACTATTAATACTTGAATTGCACGGACCTCACTGTACTCGGACTTCTGTAATGTGTTGTTGTCTGCAATGTTCACAAGTACTGACTGTGCCGGAGTGAGCATCAATCGGCATCCCGATCGGCCGCCGTTCTAGTTCTGGGTAGTCGCGATCGTCCCCAATAATAGATTTGCTTCGCAGTCACATCTTTTATATCAAAGTGAGCGCTTAAATGTGTATGTAGCTGTAGCGGATTTTTTTTTCGGTCGACAACGTTTTTATTATCCTATGCCCCATCTGTCGACTATGAGCCATTGATAGACTTATTTCACGTTCTAATCATCATGTTATTGTTCGAATAAAGATGAGCCTCGTTCCACCGTCGACTAATATATCGGAAGTCCGCTTCCTCTTGTTGCTGTCTATACCAGTAGTCTTGGTCATAGTGGTATCTTCGGGCGTATTTTTCGACTTCTTCACTTCGGGAGCCAGAGTATGCCCAAGTGACTTCCT